CCCTGACAAGCTGCTGACGAACTGCTGATAGAGTAGAGCTTCGCTATTCCTCGTGTTGCCACAATTGACTCAAAAATGTGCTATGTGCTGTCTAGGATTTCCAGTCCCATCGAATATCTTGAAGTTTGGGGTCACAAAACCCTTGGGGAAAGGGACGGCATCGTACTCCTCTGGGTAAGGTCTAGCCTTTAAAATTGATGCACCGCCCTTGGACTGGGCTAAGGCCTCCTGGACTTGTTCAACCATTTGTTTGAACTCTTTTTCTGGCATGGCTCCTGATGGAGAATCCTTCATTGGTTGTTCTTCTTTGTCTGTCGAAGTAGCCTCCCTTCTTTTATCTACGATGTGTAAGATTTCTGGCTAATTAATCTCTAGAGAAGCCAATCTTGGTGCTTGTGATTGCCCCTGAAGGGTGGCCATGGCGGTCATAGCTGCAGTCATCTCTTCTATTCTTTTCTCCAGTAGAACAACTTGCTCATCCCTTAGGAGGATAACCCTACTCAGCTCATCTACGACATTCTCTTCAGTGTGAGGTTGAGCCTCGCGCATAGATGTGGTAGCTCTGGTTTTGATCATCTGGACATCCATGAAATCCTCCTCCAAATAATCACTGTAATCAAAATCCTCGTTGTCACTATTGACGGAAACTCCGTGTTCTCGAGCTAACTCAGAAATCTCGATCCTGAGTTTCTTAACTTTTTCCTCAATTATCGATTCCTTAATTTCTTTAAGATCTGGAGGACCTTGATGGAAATCCTCAACTTGTTCCTCCATCTCGCTGGCTATTGTCGCGACGATGTCAGATATTCCAGGCACTGGTTTTACTTCCTGTCCTGCGGGCTCACTGAACAGTATCGGTACAGCGACCTTGGGTACCCATACCCTCTTCTTCTTCAAGGATGATGGCTCAGGATGGGACGTCTTCGTAGAGACATTGGTATGTCGAGGGAAGGTATGTTCCCCGTGGTGTAGATCGGCTACAGTGTCAGGTAATCGTCTTGTCTTTCTTTCCGTGATTTTAGGAATGACGGGTAAACTTCTCGGACCCGGTCTTGACTTAATCGGTCGGCAACTAGCGGTCCTGGTGGTGGTATGGTCAGTGGTGATCATAGCAGTATTGACTCGATTTCCCAAACGGAGCCAGACGGGAACACAGGTAGGTGATTTTATAGTCGACCTACGAGATTTTCTAGCGGACTTAATATCCTTCAAAATTTCATTCTTCATTTGAGGGGAAATTGCATGTCCCACTCGTTTAAGTAATTCACTAACCGAACATTCTTCTTTTGTAGCAAGCCATCTGAAGACTGCACTAACTCGGATGATGGGGATGAATTTCTTTCCCTCCTCACCATGTCCATGAAGTGATGGTAATGCGACAGTAATCTTCCCGATACTCTCATATCCATAAGTATCTGTCAGAGGATGGAATCTACTCCCTCGTAGGAGTGGATAAATTGATGGTAATACCTCTTTAATTTGATGAGGCTCCCCCTCAACGGATGTGTTTTCTTTAGTGGTACAGTCCTTGAGCTCGACCTAATTTCAAATATTGGTGGTGGGACAGTTAATCCCTCAATCGGGTCTTCAACGACCATCACTTCTTTCCCCATGGCAGCAGCAGGGATAACAGGCTTGAGAGGTGTCGCGACAGCAGTAGCTTTAGCCTTCTTGCAAGCAGGGAAGTCTTGAAGGCAATTTAAGCTGAATTTTGCAGACGGTTCTTGCATTTCCGGAGCAGCGATCTTCATTACCATGAATGGGGCTTTCCTAAGGATAACCTCAAGGTCTTCAAATCCAGCTCAAAACTTGATGGTGGGAGCGACATTACGGGCGCTGCGGTCCGTTGGCAGGTTGCCGGAAAAGGTCAGCGTTGGGTAGGCCATTACAGCGGGCTTTAAAACAGAAAGTTTTAGGGTTAGCTATATGGCTAAACAACTTGTAGCTATATGGCCAAAAACCTCAAAATCTTTAGTGAAAGCACTGAAAATGGAGGTTGATCCGTAGACCGGGCGGGTCTTAATTTACAGGTAATTTTAACATCTTTGTTTAAAAAGGTGTAAACTTTAATTAATATTTCAAAGTGCACGCAACACAACACGATTTGGTTTAATTTACGAAATAGCAAGTCAAATTTTGGAATGTGAAAAATTTTAGGACCTAATGCGGGACCCATTAGTGGCAGAAAATGCCCAGGTGGAATTAGTCCACCGCAAAA